CCCCCTCCTTCCCCCGCTCCCTCCCCACCTTTCTGAACAAGTCCGTGAACGACACCTCCTCCTCCGGACCCTCTCCGCACGTGAAACTCTCGCTGCTGTACCACATGTCGTACCGCGTGTCAAACCGGAAGTGCCCGCACGTCTCCGCTGCCAGACACACCTGGTAGAGGAGCGGACAGGGGGAGAGCGGACAGGGGGGAGAGCGAGGAGGGCGGGGAGCGCGTGTGAGGGCGGGGAGCGCGTGCGAGGGCGGTCAAGGACGCCAATTGAATGGCGAAGGGAGGGGAGGGGGGAGAGGAAATGGAAAAGCCGCACGACGCAGGTACCCTCCAAGCCGGTTGTTAGTTAAGGGGGCTGCCAACTTCACAGCTATTCTACAGCCACCACCCACTACAGCTGCTACTGCTGCTGCTCCCGCCGGAACTGCTCCTCGGGAGCAAGGTTGCTGCCGCTACCGCTGTCGCCGCTACCGCTGCCGCCGCTACCGCTGTCGCCCCCACCGCTACTGCCGCTACCGCTGCCGCTGCTACCGCTACTGCCACCACCGCTGCCGCCGCTACCGCTGCCGCCGCTACCGCTGTCGCCGCTACCGCTGCCGCCGCTACCGCTGTCGCCCCTACCGCTACTGCCGCTACCGCTGCCGCTGCTACCGCTACTGCCGCTACCGCTGCCGCCGCTACTGCTGCTACCGCTGTCGCCCCTACCGCTACTGCCGCTACCGCTACTGCCGCTCACCGCTGCCGCCGTTACTGCCGCTACCGTTGCTACCGCCAGTGCTGTTCTTACCGCTCGTAACGGCTGCGGACTGACAGCCACCCGGGGCCCCCTCCCTAACGATGACCCAGATCAGACCAGGACACGACTGACAGACTGACGGACGGACGGAACCCAGATCCTGAAATACGGCCTACGTGCTGCACGGCCTTTCCATTCGTGTACGGTGTCGTACCTTGAGGATGTGCGGAAAGAGGAAGAGCAGGCCCGTGTGCATTCCGGTCCCCAGACCGATTGATGACAGCACGCCCAGACCAACCCACCACACGACGTACTTCACGGTTTCCTGGGGGGTAGGGATGATGCCGGGGTGTGGTGTGGGTTGGGTTGGTGTGGGTTGGGTTGGTGTGGTGTGGGTTGGGTTGGTGTGGGTTGGGTTGGTGTGGGTTGGGTTGGTGTGGGTTGGGTTGGTGTGGTGTGGGTTGGTGTGGTGTGGTGTGGGTTGGTGTGGTGTGGTGTGGGTTGGTGTGGTGTGGGTTGGTGTGGGTTGGGTTGGTGTGGGTTGGGTTGGTGTGGTGTGGTGTGGGTTGGTGTGGTGTGGTGTGGGTTGGTGTGGGTTGGGTTGGTGTGGGTTGGGTTGGTGTGGGTTGGGTTGGTGTGGTGTGGTGTGGTGTGGGTTGGTGTGGTGTGGTGTGGTGTGGGTTGGTGTGGTGTGGTGTGGGTTGGGTTGGTGTGGGTTGGGTTGGTG